ATAATATATGTGTGTGTGTGTGTGTTTCATTCTTCAGCGTCTGCATGTCACAGTCGTATTAATTTCCATTTTAAAAACCCATTATGTTTTGCGTTTGTAGGTTGTGAAGACTGTTTATGCATCTCCCAGTCGTATTAATTTCCATTTGGACTCAAGAAAGGCAAGTTTTGCTAATGAGGAACACATCATGTATTCTACTGTGAATCGTATCTGACAACTTCACATATACACTTCAGGAAGCAGAAACGACTTCTGCATATCCAGATATATGTTTTGCAGTTGATGATTTTGATTCCACGTTTGATGCAGTGGTAATGCATCAGTTCCCTCATTTTTTAGAATGCCTTGCTCTCATTTTCGAGATTTGGATCTCTGGCTGATTGAATAATATAAATAGAGGTGCTTCTAGATAGTTGCAGAAATCCTGGTCATATATGGATTCAAGGCTTCAGCTTTAGCTTTCTGTTCATGCTCTATGAATATGAGGCTGTTTCCCAATTACAAATATTTTTCTCTCCCAGGTTTTGACAGATGTGGACCACTGCTATTGTGTAATTCTAAATGCACATGATGGAGCCGCTTTTCCAGCTGAAAAGATAATTGAAGGTCATATTAACATCACTTCTTCCAAAAGCAAGTCGGCTGCTGAAATGACTCAGAGTTCAAAGGTTTGAAAATACAGAGTATGATCATCATCATCATAACAACCACCTTAATGCCACCCCTAAATATTCTTTATAGAGAGAAAAGATGAAACTATTCTGAATGGCACGGAAAGAAGCTTCTCTTTCAGAGACGATTATGTTTGGAAATTTTATTAGTGACTTGGGTTTTTGTTTTCTAAATGTCAAAACACATTCAGGGTTTCTGTTTCTTTCATTCACAGGTCCTCTGACTTCTATATCCCACTTTGCCTGCTCTATAACATGAAGTCACATTAACACTCTCAACACTACATGATAAAGTAGTGCAATAGCCTGACAGTTTTGTAACGTTTTTTTATATATTTCAGATCACTTTATTCTCAGGTTTCGTTAGTTATCAGATGGTCCGAGATGCCTATGATGGTAAGCCATTTTTTTCTTTCTATTACAACTCCATGCAGTTTTTCTGGGATTCCGGATCATGTATTGTGCAACTAATTCAAATATTCGGCGCATCTATACATGGAATGTGTTGGCTGCGCTTGTTAATTCACATACAACGTTTATATAAATGTGTGTTCATTAGTTTTCTTTAACTGTTACAATTTGACTGAGGTTGACTCAGCTAACCAGCATGCCCAGACATTTTATTTCACTTGGGCATATTAATGTCATCTGGAGGTAGTATGCACCTTCTGGAAAGATTCTTAATGTTAGCGGGTTGCACAACTTCTGACATATCCCCATTGCTTTACAGATTAACACTTAATATGTGTGTTATTGCTTTACTGATTCAATTTCCTGCTGGCTGAAGTTTCTTAAACTTTGCAGCCCTCCCCCAACCTGAGTTTTGCATCCAGGACTCCATGAGTTGTTATTTTTTATTCTTGCCTCTTTTTTGAGCTATTCTCCAAGTTTGTATATCCAGGTGTAAAGCAAAAACTGATCACTTTTTTTCCCGTCTTGTATATGTACTGCATAAAGCTGGAAGATCTGGATTAGGGAGTCTTCTTTCACTTCATTCGTCAGGGAAAACAGACAGGATTTACATGAAAGGCCCAGGAGGATGTGGGGAGGTTGAAGTAGCTGTTTCTGGTGTTGTAGGTATTTGATTGGTTTTTTATATATTCTATATCTTCCTGACTGTCTTTCTTTTCTTTTTTAGATTTGATCATCTTGTAGAGAACTAGTTTTATTCCCTAAACTATAGTGGTATTTCACTTCCTGTGCCCCTTTTCTTGCATCGAATCTTATTGTGTTAAGGTACTATAAACTTTTTATTTAAAGAATCCGTCTGTACCAGTGGGTTCCATACTAGATTTCAGATTGCTCCGACTATGAATTGTACATCTCTCGACTAGATTCCATAACAGCATGACCCAAGTACCCAACAATTATGTGTTATTTCAATCAGATATTGAACTCTTTTTCATGCATTCTATCATTAATGTAGTGGTGTTTGAATTTGTCAGATCAAAGCAAAGAGGAACACAGTCAACATTCCCCTAAAAAGGGACTAAGCATAGGCTCAGTTGTTCGAAGGGCAGCAACGGTGGCATCAGTCGCAGCAAAGCATGCTTATGCTGCTGCTTCTGCTACTACGCGGAGTTCAGATGAAGGGATGACCCCACTGAAGTGCTGCTTGATGTCCATATCATTACCTTGGGAGCACATTGCTCATGATCTTCTCCTTAAGGCGTGATCTCTCACCTTAGCTAATATTTAATACCCCAGCCCGCTCTCACCTACTGACATACTAGGGTGGTTCTAAATATCATCATTACCCCAGTGCCGCAAAGGCTCCCACCTACGGTGGGGTAAGAGGGGGTCGGATGTACGCAGTCTTACCCTGCAGTAATGCACAAAGTTGCTATTTTCGGATGACCCATAGTAAAAATCGCGTCGAAAACTGCACGGGCCGACTGTTGCTTCATAACAAAGAAGCGCGGACAATTTAGTGAACAATTTTGCTATATTCCATCATATATCCAAGCCAAAAAATAGTGAGTTTTTGGCTCCATTGCAATTGATGGAAAAGGGTGGTTCTAAATATGTCACTTTTATTTAATCAATGCATAATTTATTTTCTTTTCCGCCATTGTCCCTCTTAAAGGCTCAAATGCCTATTCCTAAAAACACAAGGGCATATTCAGAATTTGAATATTATTTTAAATGCTTTTCATCATTTCCTTATATGTGACAGCCAAACCATGCCCTTATAGTAAGGGCTTGAGGGACATGGGGAGTATATAGAAACTTGGATGCCTTCTCTTACATATGGTCATTGAGATGATTCATGCTGTTTGTGCAGGGAACTCCCCCAGTGAACTTGTAGGATTAAATACAGGTTGATGATGAGCAGTATCAAAGCTTTGTAGACTTCACATGTAGATGAGTACATCCAAGATTGAACCTAAGCAATCGAGCATACGACAAGAGTGAGTAGGAGCCACTGAGCCAGGAGGCATGCATTGTGTATATTACACTTCTCATCTTTGAGTAATACTCAATAATGGTTGCATTATGTTAACCTCAAATGTCCTTTAGTTGCATCTGAGATAGATAGCCCCTCCAAGTTAGGTGGTGGTTTGGCAAGGTCAGTGATTGTGGCAGTGGGGATGTGTTTGCAATGTTGTTGATGGTGGCCAATGGCCCATAATTTAATTGGTTTTTTCCAAAGTGGAACGATTGTTGTTCGAATCAGTTTTCCTGTTCGGTTTATTTCAGTTGTGCTTTAGATTTTTACCGATTTGTTTTCCGATTTCATCAATCCACTCGTGAGATTGACCTTTATATCATACCTTGTCTCTCATCACATGCAAATTATTATTTCAATGGAAGTTGAGGATGCTAAGTGATAACTTTCAAATACTTAATTTTTTTAAAGGAAATTAGTAATTCAGATATCCTAAAGCTATAATCAGATGAAACCTGAGATTAAAGATTCAAACATAACATTTCAAGAACCCCGATAGATTTGAACTTCTTATCAATAGAAGCCCATACCTTCTTCTATTACTAAATTAATAATTAAGACTAGAAAAAAAATAAACCTACACACATACGTAGTAGAAAATAAACATACATTATTTCATCATCTCAATAAAGAAATAACATAAAATCTGGTTTATCCCGCCACTAGAAACAACCGGAATCGTCAATTTGGCCAGCTATTGAGATAAAATGATGTTGGGTCAAGGAAATTAATGGTGAATCCGCACATGAAGTCTCAACATGAGTTTTAGAATTCAAATCGACCTTTCCAACGAGATATGAAACACTCGAAACGGAAGAACGTACAACAAGATATGATCAAAACAAATACTCAGCGGTGGGTCGAGAAAATGAATATGATCAGATTTACAAAGTCAAATTTGCTAATAAATTTGGGACGGATGTAGTAATAGCATTTCTGTACACTGATTCTATCTGGTCCCCACTCCCCAATGCTGTTACTCATTTTAGAAGGTTCAGACTTCAGACTACTCTACCCAATTTGTGTAATATAATAGCATTTCTATACACCTATGCTATACGCGTGCATCAGTTAACGCGTACTGCAACTCTTACCCTAATTATCAATTTATTGATCTAGCTACTTTATACGGAGTACCAAGTTACCAACACCCCTTTATGTTAGCTAATCAGTTAACACCAGCCTATGATCAAATTAAATACCCAGCATTGGGTCGAGAAAATGAATAGTGAATCGGTGAAACTAACATACGGTGGATTAGATAAAATAATGTTGGGAGACGGAAATTAATGAGGAAAATTAAAGTGACTTTGAGAAAATTAACAACTTACTTCATACTACCTCCGTTCTCTTTTAGTTGCAACATTGGACTTTTTGCACTATTCACATGTTCTACTTTAACTACATTTTATTAATTGATGTATAATAAATTAAATTTTTTAAAAATATTGTTAAATTCTTTTTATTCTAAATTTTCAAAATATGATTTTTTTTTAATTTTTGTACTAATAAGGAATGAACGATATTAATGGTCAAACTTGTGTGTTGGCAAACATGAAATGTTGACTGTTGTAATTAAAAAGGAACGGAGGAAATATGTCTTTGGTTTGCTCATGTTTAAGGAATATCAAACAAATAATAACACATGCCCACAAACAAACATACGAGTTTCATCACATGCTTTTCTGTGCAACATTTTTTAACCTATTAAAAAGTTTGTTCTTTATTATTTATACTAAATGTTTGTTCTTTTTTTAAACAAACACATACTTACGAGGACTGAAATTAGAAAGCGTACTTGATATTTCGTCACATACTTGTTTTTTTATGTATTTAAAGGGCACAATGGTAAACCAAAACAATTTCAAATCACTACGCCTAGAAATATAGCCCGCCCCGCTCCTGGTACAGAGAGTTTCGAACAGAGGAGGCGTTTGATTAGACAGAGGGTAAGGCTGCAAGCTGTGAAGGACCGACCAGGTGAAATGGAGAAGGTGAGCGTAGCAGTCAGAGTGAGACCCGCGAGGGGTGAAGACAGCAATCATGGAACCTTCTGGAAGGTAGAAGACAATAGGATCTCCCTCCACAAGATTCATGGCACCCCCATTTCCGGCCTCTCCTTCGCTTTTGGTACTCTCACTCACTCTCTCACTCTACAAGCACTAGTAATATTTCCATGAATTTTACGAAGCTTTGATCTAACTAAAATTAGGTCACGTTTTCTAAATGGGTTTTTTGTGAAGATGTTTATCAATGCATTTCATTTTTATTGTAGATCACGTCTTTGATCAGGAGTCATCAAATTCTAGGATTTATGAGTTGGTCACGAAGGATATTATTCATGCTGCTCTTGAAGGCTTCAATGGTATGCACTCATTCGGTTATTTCTTCTTCTTTGGATCTGTAGTGCCTCAGCACTTCTATAGTTCTAGATGTGATCTCAATGGTCTTTGTTTAACTTGAGATGATAAGAACAATAGATCTTTTCACAGTATTTCACCTAAGTAAGCTTGCGTTAGTGCCTCGGTAGATGAATGCTCCAGAATTTCGGGTTAGGGAAAAGATTTGATTGGAGACATGAAAATTGTTTGTTTTATGGCTGGGTTTATAGAAGATAATCAATAGGTTATGAATTCACGCTCATTGTTAATATCTTGGTCTACTTAGAGACTTGAAGAGCTAAAGTAATGTATGGTTGATCTTTTCCATTCAGGAACTGCATTTGCGTACGGGCAGACAAGTAGCGGCAAGACCTTTACCATGAATGGTTCTGAGAATGATGCTGGAATCATTCAACGTGCAGTGAATGATATATTTACCAAAATTCACATGGTATTACTTCCTTCTCCCTGATTATTATCACCCTTTTAATGAACAGAATCTATTGGTCTGAGGATAAATAGCTCAACTTTTATGCTCCCAGACCACTGATAGGGAATTCCTGATTCGAGTCTCATACATGGAAATTTACAATGAAGAAATAAACGATCTTTTTGCTGGTGGAAACCAGAAGCTCCCCATCCATGAAAGTTTGGAGGTAATGAAATGAAAGAATAGCTTTAAGATAATTGATATTTGGGTTGCGAGTTTGTGACATAACATCCATTTCTATTTCTATAGCGTGGAGTATTTGTAGCAGGTCTGAGGGAGGAAATTGTGAACTCTGCTGAACAAGTACTTGAACTCATCGAACGTGGAGAAGGTTTGATCTTTAAACTAGACTATACAACAATTTCCCGAACTCCGTTTATCCGGCCCACAGTTTTTTAATGTGTCTAAATCCTGATCTCCATGAAATGGTTTGGCAGACAAGAGGCACTTTGGGGAAACTAACATGAATGTACGAAGTAGCAGGTCACACACCATCTTTCGGATGGTATGTTTTTCATTGTTGCAGGATTGTTGTATTTGGAAGCTGTTACTTTATATTTCATTTTAGTACTTGAATCTTTCTTTTACTACTAATTAGGTTATTGAAAGCAAGGGGACAAATAATTCAGAAGATGCAGTTCGTGTGTCCATTTTGGTATGCTATTCCTCCTCAGAGACTTTGTCATGATGCAAAAGAAAAAAATGCTCCAATGCAAGAATTATTACTACCTCCGGTTTTTTTTAATCTTCACAGTTTGACTTCACACAAATTAAGGAAAGAAATTTGACTTTACTGTAGAGTACACCGTTGAGGCACTGTTTGACACTGTTTGGCACTGTATAGACACTGTTTGACACTGTTGAGACACTGTTTGGCACTGTTTTGATGTAGATTTCTTTGCCAAAAAAGGAAATAAGGAAGTGTGAAGTTTATTTTAGACTGTCCCAAAAGGGAAAGTGTGAAGTTTATTAAAAACCGGAGGGAGTATGATATTCCTAAAATATTTGTTGTTTGTACAAATAGTTTATTCTCACCCACAATCTTCAGAATTCCATTTGGTTGTTGTAAGAACTTTTGGAGAGTAGAGCAGTACACTAGTTCTATGAAATATCATTCCAATCTGCACCCTCAATGTTTTTTATCAACATGGAGTATGATACAGAGATTAAGACTGACCACAGTGTCCTATTTTAGTCTTTGTCTTTTTTTCTCCCTTCTTTTCTCCCTTCTTTTATTCTTTTTATGTCCTTTATCTCTTTTATCTGTTATCTATCTTATGTTTTCAGGTTATTTATATCTTTTCCATTTTATCTTACCTTTTTCTTCCTTATCTTTTTTCTCTTTTTTGCCCTGATATCATGGATCGATTCATGTTAGCCGACCCCAATTGCTTTTGGGATTAAGGCTTGGATGTTGTTGTTGTATTAACTTTGTGCTTTCCTTTGGAAACAGAACTTAGTAGACTTGGCAGGCTCTGAAAGGATTGCCAAAACTGGAGCCGGGGGAGTTCGCCTCAAAGAAGGAAAACACATTAATAAAAGCTTAATGGTTCTTGGCAATGTCATCAACAAATTAAGCGAAGGTTCTAGGCAAAGGTACTCGTTCCTTTAGATGCAGTGGCTACCCCTGGGTCTATAGATATGACTGTTCAAAGCTAACATTTTATATATTATGCAGGGGGCATATTCCTTACCGTGATAGCAAACTCACACGTATACTTCAGCCTGCACTTGGTGGTAATGCCAAAACTTCCATAATATGCACTGTAGCACCAGAAGAGGTACCCTTTTCTTGGTATGCCAGATCTGCTTTTTTTATCATTATTATTGATACAAATATTAAAATGTTATATGCCACTAATATAATTAGGTTCACATTGAAGAAACGAAGGGCACCCTACAATTTGCTAGTAGAGCTAAACGTATCACCAATTGCGTTCAAGTGAATGAGGTGAGCAGTGTTCCTTTATAGAGATGGTTTAATATCTCAGAGTAGTTTTTTTCTTGTTAATTGGATATAGAGCTGATTGTAGTTCATATCTTAATAGATATTGACAGATGCTGCATTATTGAAGAGACAAAAGCTTGAAATAGAGGAATTACGCCAGAAACTTGAGGTGTGAAAGTAATGTAAATCTGAAAATTATATCCCACATCTTACAGCCTGACTAATAATTTGAGGTAACTACTTTATAGGGATCCCACTCTGAAGTGCTTGAACAACAGATTTTGAAATTGAGAAATGATTTGCTGAAGGTAAACATATTTATTTGTATGTCTAAATAAAACTATAAAAGCATATGGGGTTTTCTTTGGTACTGAGATGATTGGTCATTTTCCTATTCATCAGTCTGAACAGGAGCATGAGAGGCTTGCTATGGAGTTGGAGGAGGAAAGGAGATTGAAGAAGGAGCGTATTATGGATGAACAGAGGAAACTGGATGAGCCTTGCAACCATCCAACTCTTTCAGATACTAATGGTTTTGCCGCCACTCAGGTAGGATATGCTAATTGGTAGTTATTGGGATATCTAATCTTTTCTGGGCTCTCTTTACCTTTGCTCAAGTAGATTATATGTTTTTTGATATGATGAACAAAAGGTTAAATTTGTTCTGGTTGCAGAATATTTCCAGACAAAGCGTTAAGGAGGATAACAGAGGCACAAGCCAGGATGATGCTTTTAGTACGCCGTGTTTTAAAAAAGTTCCCGATGCTTTTGTTGCTCGGCGATCAAACTACTCTCGGCAGCCCGAATGCAGTCCTCTTCCGGATGCACTTGATGCCTTTGCCAATGAAGATACATGGGCAAAAATGAACAAGGGCTATGTGGCTGATCTTGATGCCACCCCTCTAAGGACCCCCGCTCTAAAGAGTCTGTCTTTGGCTAAGGGTGCTGAGAATGTGAGTCGCGTATTCATATGACTGATAATATGGAGGCTTTGTTTGTTTTCAGGAATATAACTTGTCGAAAATATTTTCATGGAATCTAAGTTGATCTAACAAGTTTGAGTGTCAAGTGTTTGACCCACAAAGTTAGAGTCATAAATGACTAAGATAAGGAATAGACGTTGTTTGTTTCCAGGAAAATAAGCTGTGGAAAATGTATTCATGCCTTCATGGAAATAAGTTGTTTCAAGCATAAAGTAATGTTTGAGTGTTTTATCCACAAAAGTAGAAAACATTAAACATTTTCAAGAAATTGGCTTTCGCTTCAGTTTTGGAGAAGTCTTCTAAGATTCAAAGAAAAATACTGGAAAATCTTGCCAGGATAGTTTTTCCTTGCCAAATCCTGGAAAATCTGGAACTTTGTCTATAAATAAATATTCTCATAAACGAACAGAGCTGTTACTTTTTTATGGTTACCGATGTTGTCTTAACAACCTTTTCCACCAGGGTTCACCCATCCAGGATTACAAACAAGAGGTGGAGAATCTTCAGAGAGAGCTGAAGCAAGTGTTAAAAGAAAGAGATGAATTCAAGGTTATAATTAGGGTGTAGATAGTAGATACATAAGTTTGCATTGTTGTGATCAGTTATGTTTACAAGGCTCTCTACCTGTGTGGCTTATGTTATGGTTCTAAAATTTCAGATGAATCATATCAAACAAGAATCAGTTAATGAGGATTTAACGAGAGAGATTTCTCTACTTCGGCAAGAGGCATCCCTTGTTCAGGAAATCCCCAAAAGACACTCTGAAGCTGTCAGAATATGCAAAGATATTTACAAGGATGTCATATCAATAATACAGGTAATGAGTTCTAAATATGACTTCTTTTGGATGTATAAAGTGATATATTGACACCATATCTGCAAACACTGATGGTATGTGAAACAGAACTGTGTAACCAATCAGAAGTCACCAACCGCCGAGTTACTTTCTACCACAAGTGATATTGGAATCTCCCTTTTTTCAACTCTTGAATCTAGCTTCAAGATGAGTAGTGGTGGAGATATATCCTCCTTAGATGGGAATGGTTTTTCATTTGAAGAGCAGCGGAATATGCTTTATATGAGAGCGAATAGTACATTATCTTCAATCAGAAGCCAACTTCCAGAGAATGAATCAAACAGCAGCAAACATAAGGTAGCTGCCTGGTCACTACAGATAACCAGATGTCACACCTTCGTTTTTATACTCTTCTCCATTCTCACCATGGGATACTACTATCTTCTTTGAGGCTGTAAGGTACTAGTTAGTGTGCACACATATTATTACCCATGATACCGCCAACCAACAAATGCTTTACATAATCCTATAAGTTAACACTCTTAGGGAGTTGGGGGGGTTTGGTACAGAATGTGAGATTAACTTAGGTAATAAGTTTGCTGTATGAAAGGGAACGGATCCAGGAAAAATGATGTACTACATTAGTTTGGAATGTCACAACGTTCAAACCAAACACACCGTACATCACTGAAAGCACCCATAGAAAAAGACACTTGCCATACTAGCAGTGTCACTAGCTGCACACATCACCCATTCCCTTGTTATCATGCTTTGTTTTTTTAGCACCTGTTGCTTACTTTAATCCAGGGGTCTACTCTGGAGCAAGATATTGATAGTTGGAAGAAGAAGCTTGAGGAAGAAGTTCTAACAATGAACGAAAGATGCTGCAGCTTGGAGAGAGAATTGGAGGCTAGTAACCAACTTGTTATGGATTCCAGGGAAAGATATAACAGTTTAGACAAACAGTTTTCTGTTTTGAAAGAAGAGAGAGATACTTTGATTGAAAGAGTTACAGACTCTACTCAAAAGGTTGCTCACCTTATGGAACAAAAAGAAAAGGTTCTGAAGAATTTGAGTGTCGAAGAGCGGAGGAGGAGAGAACTTGAAGAAGACATTACAGACTTCAGCCATGCTTTTACGCGCAGACAGAAAACGCTTATGACCCTTCAGAGTGACTTCAGATCTATAATTGATAACTTTAAGGCTCAGAATCCAGTTCCTGGATCAGTATCTCTTCTTGGATTATAAAAATGGCTAATTTTGGTTGTTTATCTCGTATAGCCATTGTCATTGAGCTCTCTTGGCAAAATGTGAGAATCCTCAATAGAACCCCAGAAACTTCTCATCGAGAGCGGTTCATATACTACTAACTGCCAATGCAACTTCATGTAAAATATTATTCAAGATTTTTTGTACTATCTTGTTATTTAAGTGGTGTTTGTTTCACCTATATACCCCTCAACCCCTTTTGTTGTTTTGAGCACCAGAAATTAGAAGAGTTGGTTTTTGATGGAGTAAAGGGTCAGTTTGGTCCTCGAAGTTGCAAAAAAGGGGTCAAATAAGTCCTTATATAGAAGATTCTGTCCGGACGTGCCATTTGAGGTGGCTCCCGGTAGAATTTTTTGATGAAATTTTTTGAGCATCTTATTCATTAAGTCTAGTTTACTCATACCAAATTTCAGCTAAAAATTCAATCGGGGAGACATTTAAATGAATTCTTGAAGATAACTGCGCTTTTAGCGACACAGTTATCTTCAAGAATTCATTTGAATGTCTTCCCGATTGAATTTTTATCTGAAATTTGGTATGAGTAAACTAGACTTAATGAATAAGATGCTCAAAAAATTTAATCAGAAAATTCCACCGGGAGCCACCTCAAATGGCACGTCCGGACAGAATTTTTTATATAAGAACTTATTTGACCCCTTTTTTGCAACTTCGAGGACCAAACTGACCCTTATCCCGTTTTTGATGTGTAGCTAATAGCGTTCATCAAAGTTGGTTTCTTTACTGTGTTGTTATCTTAGAGACTCTTAAACTACAATTGTACTTTGCTGTGGATTCATAAAGCTTTTGTTATTCACTTCTTATCTAAAAAATTAAACTGCTTTTTACTTAGGCCTTTGTTCCATCAATGCGTTAATGTATACGTTAAGGGTTTGTTTTCAACTGTTTTAAAAAAAGTACTTCTCAGCTTTTGGCTTTAAAAAAGCACTTATTTTCCCAAACACTACAACTTTTATTTTTCTCGGCTTCCGCGTCAAAAGTGCTTTTTACCTTTTTTATTACACAAAAAGCACTTATTTTACCAAACACTACCCACTTTTACTTTTCAAAATCAGTTTTTTCCCAAACACTATCAACTTTTATTTAATCACTTTTCCCCATTTCATTAAAAAAAGCACTTTTTTAAAAGCAGAAGCTATTGCAAACAGACCTAAATACAAGATTTTGTTAGTGCAGTGCAAAAAACAAGAAAACATAAATATCAAATCTTTTTTTCACTCGATATCCCTTTCGTGAATAAATTTGAGATTGGATAATATGCGTGGCTTTCCATGATTACATCTAATTCCTTTCTTTTTCTAAATCAAAATCTGTATACATAATATAATTATGTATGATATAGCTTTGAAGTACAGCTTGATATAAGGGGTATACATTAAACGTCCTTAATTGAATTCGTTTACAATTTTAATATATGAACGTTCAGAAATATATATTTCATGTGGCTTTTGAAAATGTTTATACGGACATACGGTTTATATTGTTTGCTTTTTTTGTTCTTTTTTAGCATTTACAACTGCAACGTGCGCTCCCTAGTTGCATTTCTAAAGAATCAATATAACAAGATGATGTTTTGTACAAGCTATCAAAGTTCAATGAGTTGTCGTATGTGCATATCAGAACCAATGCTTCAAAGTTTGAGTATGAATTTGCAACTTCAAAAATATAAAGATGGTTGTATCTAGGACCAAAGTCAAAATTTGATATATAACCACGTATTGATCCCTGTCAAAAAAAACCACTTATTGATTGCAAAGGGAGGTTTTTCTAAATTATTTATAATAAAAAAGTAGATAAAAATGTGACTTAGTATTCAAGTCACATTTTTGTTCAAGTTATACATCACAATGACTACATATAAACATTAATAATTACTAAGTCACATTTTTGTTCAACACTTTTTCAAGGAAATATTAGTGGAATTTTCTCTTATATTAATTGTGTGTGTCACTGCGTAACTGGACACAAAGAGTGTGGGGGCAGTGGCGTTAGAGTATATGAGAAAGGAAATTGGAATGGTTTACAAAATACTCCTTCCGTCAAATTGGATTTTGTTAACTATCTATTAGGGAGTACTATTTGTCCCAAAAATATTGACATTTTCATTTTAAAATAATGAATTTTCAGTTTCTTACAAATATGAAATATCAAGCATACAGTTTTTACTATTCTTATTCAAAAACTCAAATGAAGTTAATTTAGGCCCGGCCGCAATCGCTCGTGAAAGTTTCCATTTACTCATTTTCTATGGTTTTGAAATTTCTAAAACTATACTTGAAATGTTCATTCCCTGTTCATAGTTGCTTCAATTAATTCCTATTGGAAGCTATTCCCAGTTTCCCACTAACCCACGATTTATTTCAAAAGGCATAACTTTATTTTTCAAGGATTACTTTGAAATATCTTATATGTTGTGATATCATGATCAATTTATGTTTTACCTACTAAATTTTGTTCCTTTTCAAAAGTATATTATTTTTCTTTCGCATTTACAGGTACAAATTTTTTTCATTAATACTTTTTTCCTCAAATTAACTTGGGTCACGAATGGAAACCTATCAGTCAAAATTAAAGCACATAATAAACCTTCTAGATTCATAAGCCTATCACACCAACAATTTTCAGGCAGCTGAATCTCCCGGAATGTTCCAGTGACAAGATCAAAGGCCAAAATCGAGAAGTAATCATAAGGACCGGACAACACGATGAAGTGCAAAGCGTTGCCAAAAAGGACCCCATTGGAATAAAGGTAAGTGACGTCTCTTGGGAAATCATATTTGGACGTTGTTTTACAAAATATTAGACACATTTTTCTTGATCGAGCGGGAATCGAAGTCAAGTTTTATCGGAGGTCAGCCAATAGATAGCTCACAAACTTGCTAGAGATGCTCTGGATAAAGTGAATGGGAGCCAAATTTATTTAATTAGTCCTAATTGTATTACATGCTAGTTGGCAAACAATGCTTTGAATTAATACTATGGAGTTTTCCTTTTTTTAAAATGACTTTCAGTATTTTTAAATTTTCCGTGTAGGTGAGATCGTAAAACATTAGATTGTTTATGGCTTCAAACTGAGGTAGTGATGATAAAGTTTTTACTCTATTTTGTGCATTCATTTCATCTGCTCGGACCCTTAAATAAGATATTTTCATCTTTCCAATTGTCTATATCGTATTTATGATCAAATTAGAATCATGCTTAACGTGAGAACGTGAGAACAATGGCGGACTCACTAAGGGTCCCATGGGGTCTCTGGACCCCGTGCACTTCCAAAATTTTACCTATATATATTATACTACGTATATATCCTTTACGAAAATAATTAATAAATGTACATATTAAAAATATGCGATCATTATACATAGAATTGCAGCAGAGGAACTGGAGTAGACACATGTGTAAGTACTTCCGTCTATGATGTTTTGGGATCGAATCCCCTCCCTCACATGTATTTATGTTTTCTAAACTCTTTATTTGGTCTTTCTATTGAGTTTTTTCCCGGAATAATGCTAATCAAATAAATAATTCCCAAAATATTGCTGAGTTAAAAATAATTTCCAAAATATCGTGGTTAAGGAAAGCTTGTCTTGCAGCACAAGAGCCGCCACTTCAGGTAAGGGAAGAAAGCAAGATGTAATGCCAAAGTCAAGGTAATGGGTCAAACCCAAAATAAAAAGCTCATGTTTTCTTTGAACTGTTATAACTTTTTTATTTGTACTCCGATTGTTACAAAAAATATATCAAAATTCATAACTTTTCATTATTTTTCATATGACACCAATATTGAATATATAAAATCAAAAAATAATTTTACACTTTATAAATTACTCATATCTGTTTTTAAAGTGCTATATATGAAGTATATTTTTTTGTATTCTGAATTTCTGATTATTTCTAAAAATATATCAAAAGTAATTATTTTTTATTATCTTTTATAGGAAAGCAATGTTTCATTTAGAAAAACAAAAAAAAAATCAATTAATTTGTGTAATTTAGAATCATTTTTTACCATGCACGCAATTAATTAAGAGTGATAGATTAAAACAAAATTACACAAACTCCATCACATTTATTTATTTATTTATTTTCGCCCTAGAATTTATGTTGTTTTATTTCATAGACACCAATATTGAATATATAAAAATCTGGAGTGCATGGTAAAAACAATCCTAAACTACACAGATTAATAGATTTTCTTTTTTTTTCTATATGAAACATTAGTTTCTTATAAAAGATAATAAAAAACGATAAATTTTGATATATTTTTGTAATTTTGTTTTAATCTATCACTCTTGATTAATTGTATGATGGAAATCTATGTGATAGAGTTTGTGTAATTTTGTTTTAATCTATCACTCTTGATTAATTGTGTGCATGGTAAAAAATGATTCTAAACTACACAAATTAATAGATTTTCTCTTTATTTTTCTCAATGAAACATTGCTTTCGTTTAAAACATTGCTGAGTATTGCTTTCCTATAAAAGATAAAAAAAAATAACTACTTTTGATATATTTTTAGTAATAATCGGCATACAAAAAATTATACTTAGTGTATAGCACTTTAAAAACAGATATGCAGTAATTTATAGTGTAAAATCATTTTTTGATTTGATATATTCAATATTGGTGTCATATGAAAGATAATGAAATAATATGAATTTTGGTATATTTTTGTAACAATCAGAATACAAATAAAAAAAGTTATAATACTTCAAAGAAAACAGGATTGTGCAATACTAAGGGTGGACTGGGCTCGGGCCGGGCTCCTGGTCGGGTTGGGGCAGGGTCCGGGTCCAAATTATTCGGACCCAGTCCCGGGTTTGTACCAATACCGGGTCGGGAAATAATTTTTTTTGTCTTTTCAAATTAATTGTAAATTTGTAATGGGAAAAAAATTAAAAAAAAAAATAAAAAAAATAAATAAAATTGGGCCCGGACCCATCCCGACCACCATTTTCAGATCCCGATGCCCACCCTTTCATACGACCACTTCAGGCCTCAGTGCCATAACAGTGCCACGCTGGGTCCCGGGTTTGGCCAAGTCGACCCTAACAACCCCTAGCGGGACCCGGTTCCTGACTGGACCCACCCCAGCACCCCTCCGTCCACCCAAAGTCTTCTCCTTGTACAGTTACAACAAGGGATAACAGAAGTCTGAAGCCTGAAGTGAAGTTCATACGTAATACGAAGTATTTTTCTTTTTAGGTCTTCTCAGTTCTCAATATAAGTTATTTGCATTTAAAAGAGAAATA